TTGCCGTCAGGTGATCCCCAAGTACCAACTTCGCGGCCTCACATCTCGGTAAGTACTGGCCCTAAAAATTTTTTTTATGCTAAAACACTTATAAAAATATTCTCTTTTTTTATAATTTTTTTTTTTCAAAATATTCGGGGCGCTGCGCGAGTGAACGTATATATACGTTTGGACCGTTTAAGGGTTAATTGCAAATGAAATATTCATCACCAGGAATTCTGGTAAAATTTATTATAAATTTGTGGACTGTATGTTAAAATTAATAAATGATTACATATACACATTTGTAGAACAGAAGGAGAATTTATAATCATAACACTCACCAATTTGTCTGGAGATTACTGTGTATCATACTCAAAAACCCCTGCCTAATGTTTATGAAGAAAATACTCTCCAGAATTTCTAAACATAAACATAAAGACATACTTGCTGGGGTTCTGAAGCTGTCCTGTCCAGTCGCCTGAATTATCATGTTATGCAGGACTGCAATTCCAACAATTTCAGCTCCTATTTGAGAGGTTTTAAGCCCAATATAACCCCTAGAGCGACGAAAATTATACACATTATATTAGCGTGTTTGTATCACATTCAGCGCTGTATAGCCCTTGTGGCTTAGCGCTTCTTTTTGATTATAATAATAATGTATCACATTCAAAAAAATGGCGACTCTGGTTCCAACAACGCTTCTCCCTGTCGCTGGTTCCAATTTTCATTTACAAATTTTACTAATTTTAATAAAAAATACGCTGGATTTTTTCGGAAAATACATTATTTTCCACAATAAACTCCTGTGTATCCAAAACATTGCAGGGGCCTATAAATACTATGTACACCTACCATTCGACTTATGACCTGCTCGACTTATGACCATGTTTTTTTTTGCCAAATTTCTGGGAAATAAACAACTATTTGTGTTGTACACAGTGTTTATCCTAAACCTTACAATATAAAATACAGTACTAACAGCATAAAAAGTAAAGTAAAACATGAAATACCAAAATAAAACAATAAAATAAAGTCATTACAAAAATGTGATGTTGATATTCAGTAGTAAAGCTCGACTTACGTCCATTTTGACTTACGACTGGTTTCTCGGAAACGAACTCGGTTGTAAGTCGGATGGTAGGTGTATATATTTCTAGACAATAGTATGTGACTAAGGTAGGTGAAAATGCTCACCTGTCATTGTGTTTGTGACTATTTGAGTACTATTTCAGTACCTAATATTAGTGTCAAAACAAAGACTGGCTATCAAATCACAACTACTATAAATAGAAATTATCAAACATAAAAATATAAAATATAAAAAACAAGAAAAAAATGTATATCGGCAACACTTCTGAAAGTGGCAGGAGTCGAAACTGCCGTCAGATGAGCATCAAGGGCAAACTTCGTGGGCTCATATCTCGATAAGTACTGACCCTAAAAATTTTTTTTTTTTATCCTATGACATGTAGAAAAATAAGCTCTTTATTTCTAAAAAAAAAAAAAAAAAAAAAAATTCAAAATATTCGGAGCGCTGGGCAAGAGAACATAGATGTACGTCTGGACAGTTAATGGGTTAATGCCACTAGGACCAGCTTGAGAGTCCAGTTGGACCCCTGTTGCTCAAAAAAGTGTTCCCGAGAGGTCTGCTTCTGGTGTATGTTAGGAATTGTGGCGGCAGTAGGGGAGTGTGTTTGGAGTTGGGACAAGACAGTCATTCAATATGACACTAATATCAACTCTACGGCTTATTTATCTAGCACAGTTCATCTAATATGATATAATAAGCAATATTAATAACACAGAAACATGATATATACTCTAGAATGAATAAAATATGTTATGTCTCTCTCCCTAACCAACGAGAGTTGCTGTGTTATTTGTTTAGGTGTATATGGGCCACTGAACGATAAGCCTTACATAGTGGTGGTGATGGCAGCAGCAGAGACGGCAGTGTTGTCAGTCACCCTATATGACTCCAACAACATTGGAGGAGTCAGTTTTGTGCTGTCCTTTTTCTTTCAATTAATCCCTTAACTTACTTGCTACACTGTTAATGCTGAAGAAGTCGATAAAGGCTGGCTAGGTGAAGTAGAACTTGATCACACAGCCTTTATCGACTCCTGCTGCTTTAACCCTTTGACTGTTTACGCTGTATAAATACGTCTTACGCGCCAGTTTCTGACGTATACTCAATAATTCTAGCGGCTTCAAATCAAGCGGAAGAAAGCTGGTAGGCCCACATGTGAGAGAATGGGTCTGTGTGGTCAGTGTGCACCACATAAAAAAAATCCTGCAACACACAGTGCGTAATGAGAAAAAAAAACAGAGTTTTTTTTTTTGGATTAAAACGCCGACTTTGAGGTGTATTTTCGTATAGTATTTATCGATGTATTTGCGTTTTCATGGTCTTAGGTGATAAAATGGAAAACATATTACAGAAATAAAGATGATTTTCATTACTTTGACGATGAAAACGACCTTGAAACTGAGCTCAAAGTAGCGGAAATGTTCGATTTTTACCAATGTTCAGGAGTAAACAAATCACACCACATGTCCAGTACACGTCAACTGGGGAGTCTAATATTCTTTCACTAGTGCACTGATATTATTTATACCATTTTTATAATAATGCAGTAGTCTGCATAACAGTAAATTTTGTATTTTTTTGTATGAATAAAAAATCAAAGTAGAAAGCAATAATAATATAAGAGGGGCCTAGAGATGTGACTAATGAACAGAGGATATGTTATTTTAGTGCCAAAAATGTCTACCTTGTTTATTCTGGACCCTATTTTGAAATTGACATCTTTTTTAGTTTGCATGAAACTGGCCAAATTGCCAATTTCTGACTGCTATATTGGGTAGTCCAAATTGGTAAATGGGAGGTTTCTTGTACTCAGCTCATAGACAAAATGTAGTTCTAAAGAAATAGCTATGAGTTTGGTCAACTGGAACAACGGAATTGGCTGAACAGAGGGCTCAAAGTCGGCGAAATCGCCGATACGCATATGTTACCGAGACCGCTAACTTCGTGGGAGCGTAATTCCCTGAGTTTTCAGCCAAATTTCGAACATCTGGTGTCATTACCATCGGGAAAAGATTCTCTATCATTTCATAAGAAAATTTTTTTTGTTTTTTTTTTCAAAAATTTATCGACATAGAATGACAGTTTCAGAAAGGGGCCTGCAACAGTCAAAGGATTAATATCGTACATATCACAGAATCACTGAAGAAGGCACATTCTCCCCTCTCTCTCAGCCCTTTACCAAAGGGCTGGCTGGCACTAGGAACTTCCTTGGGGCCCCATGGTGGCTTATTTAGTAATGTTGCAAGCACTAAAAAGAATGGAATAATACAAAATGTATCGTATGAATGTGTGGGATCGGGCTCACTAGCTGATAAACAATAGCACACTGAGCATTGGGTCGCTGTTGCCATGCGGATGCGTTCAGGGCGAATGACTATTACCGAGCTCAGTGACGATCACCGAGCCAATATTTTTACGAAAAAATGTTATGATTTCCGAATGTTACGAAATCCGACCACTACAATATCTGGGGGGTCCACTGTATAGGAAATAGTAAGGTGATGAGGATAACAAGAAAAATTAGATAACGGAAGAGTGGATATCAGATTGGAGGGAGAGAGTATGGAGGTGAATGTGTTCAGAAATTTTGAAGTGGATGTGTCAGCAGATGGGTCTATGAAGGATGAGGTGAATCATAGAACTGATGAGGGGAAAAAGGTGAGTGGTGCACTGAAGAGTCTCTGGAAACAAAGAACTTTATCCATGAAAGCAAAGAGGGAAATGTATGAGAGTATAGTTATACCAATGCTCTTGTATGGGTGTGAGGCATGGGTTGTGAATTTTGCAACAAGGCGAAGACTAGAGGCAGTGGAGATGTCATGTCTGAGGGCAAAGTGTGGTGTGAATATAATGCAGAGAATCCGTAGTTTGGAGATTAGGAGGGGGTGTGGGATTACCAAAAGTATTATCCAGATGGCAGAGGAGGGGTTACTGAGATGGTTTGGACATGTAGAGAGGCTGGAACAAAATAGAATGACTTCGAGAGTATACAAATCTGTAGTGGAGGGAAGGTGGAGTAAGGGTCGGCCTAGGAAAGGTTGGAGGGAGGGAGGTAAAAGAGGTTTTGTGTGTGAGGAGGTTGGACTTCTAGCAAGTGTGCGTGAGCGTGTTAGATAGGAGCGAATGGAGATAAATGGTTTTTAGGGCTTGACGTGCTGTTGGAGTGTAAGCAAGGTAACATTTATGAAGGGATTCAGGGAAACCGACAGGCCGGACTTGAGTCCTGGAGATGGGAAGTACAGTGTCTGCACTCTGAAGGAGGGGTGTTAATGTTGCTGTTTTATAACTATAGTGTAGGCATGCCTCTGGCAAGACAGTGATGAATGAATGATGAAAGCTTTTCTTTTTCAGGCCACCCTGCCTTGGTGGGAAATGGCCAATGTGTTAATAAAATAAAAATGTTCAAAGATCTGAGAAGCATTTAGAAATACGTATACTCATTTGCTACTGAAGGCAACAAATTTGTGCATGCCATAGCTAAAGCCAGATTGTCCATAGCAGCTGGTCACGTATCTTGTAATAAGAAATGTACCTAAATGTGGCTCTTGTCTGTGGCTTCAGTTCATCTAGGAGTCCAGTTCTTACACAGTTCTTGATTTACTTTTACTACACTATGTTAGCAGAGCTTCACATGTTCTCTTCAAAATATCAACAACAATTTCAAGCCATGAATGCTTATTTTCTTATTCAGAGAAAAAAAAATTGTAAGGGATACCAAACAATTAGTGTTGTGAAATGTAAACATTGTATTTGATAATCTAATCTTTGACCAACTTCGTTATGTGAAACTTAAAATTCAAATCTAAACTCAACTATTCAATGTTAATTTTAAGTTCTAGTTTTAGTCTGCCCAAAATGCTCTGCATAACCACTGGCTTTTCCTTGTAAGAAACTACTAATGCAAATCAAAATTTAATTTTATTGATTGTGTGTATTTCTTTATTTTATCGTTCTGAACATCAATACAAACAACACAAACATGTAATTATATTCTTAATTTCTACTTCTGGTATTTCAGCTGTGTTTGAGAAGTTCTCTTTCCTTCAGGTATGGAGCAAAGTAATTTGGATTGTTGGTAAACAGCTTTATCTTTGTTCTGATTTGCTTCCATGTGTCCTGGAAGTAGTTCTTGCGATCTCTGGCCATGGCCTGTGTGAGACAAAAATGATTATAAACATAATGAACAAGATATACAATGTTAAGAACAGCCTAAACTTCAAGCCAAACAGGGCTGGTAGACTAAGCAATGACTATCTGCTGTCCAAGGCCAAAATCTGAAGTGCTGCTCAAGTGTCCAAGAAATTCTGGAGAGAAAAAAAAAAAAAAAATTCGTATACAGAATTAAAGAGTATATTTTTGTGAAGGTAATAAGACAAATTTTTTTTTTCTGATCAGTACTTACCGAGATACAGTGCCGAGAAGTTTGTCCAAAATGACCTGGTGGCGGCAACATCGACGATTTCCACATACGCGCATTACTTTATTTAGCATTTTTTGTAGTTTTTTCTTTTCTTTTCCAATTTTTTTCTTTTCCTACTAACATTTGGAGCCTGAGAGACCAATACTGTATATAATGTATATGTATAAACTCACTGTATTGAACACAATAACCGCACTAAAGTTATTATCATATTGTTTACCACTTTTGTTTATTACAATAAACATGCACAAATCTTGTATAATACTAATGTTCTATCATGTATTTACATATTTACAATCACTGGACATGTTTTTAGAACTGCTGGAGCTTGTGGAAGTCCTTGAAACAAGGCACCATGCACATAGGTACCTTACATTCCTCACACATAAACCAAGTGCCTTTGCGTCTTTGTTGCCGGCGTTTTGTTTGTGCACAGACAATGCATCTCTTCTGAGCAAATTTCTTCTTGGTTGAGGGAAGCTGTATTATGAAATGATCACTGTCCCTCCTCAAACGCATGGGTATATTCTGAGGAGTTCAAGGACCTTGTTGTATAGCAGGTGTTGTTACCTGGTACTTCATTATGAGTTGTCTGACAACAGACAAACAAAATTCACCATACGGTGGTCTGTTGCCAGTCTTCATTTGGTACATATTATATGCATTGAGCATTGAAATATCCATGAGATGGAAGAAAAGTTTCATGTACCACTTGTAACTCTTACGAACACAATCAACAAAGCCAACCTGCATGTCACATTTGTCAACCAAGCACATGTTTTGTGTACAATCAATCACTGTCACTGGTTTTCGAATACGTTCATTAGCCACTCGATCAACTTTGCGACTGTTTTGCATTTTGTTATGGTGAATGGTTGTCAACAATGTGACATCTTGTTTGTCATGCCACCGTAATGCCATGATGTCATTGGCAGTAAACACCTACACGTCATCACCATGAGCACCTGCATTGAACCTGGGCATATGTTCACGATTAGAACGCACTGTGCCACACACATCTGTCTTGCTCACTTGCAAGAAATCACTGAGTAAAGGGCTTGTGTACCAGTTATCGGTATAAAATGTATGCCCCTTACCAAGATAAGGTGCCATCATGCTTCTCACTACGTCACCTGAGATACCCAATAACATCTTGGTATCTTTCAATGTTTTACTTCCCGTGTATACAACAATATCCAACACCAGGCCACTGTCACAGTCACAGAGTACAAACAGTTTTATACCAAAGTGTTTCCTCTTGCTCGGTATATACTGCTTGAATGACAGCCTACCTTTGAACAAAATCAAAGATTGGTCAATTACAAGATTCTTGAATGGATAAAAGTACATGTTGAACTTCTGTTTGAGATACATAAAACATTTCTAATCTTGTATAACCTGTCACTTCTGTCAGGCCTGGTTTTGTCAGAGAAGTGCAACATATGTAACAGTAAGATAAACCTGTTCACTGGGATGATTTCACTGAAGACCGGGGTAGAAATTAGCCGATCTGTGGACCAGTATGCTTTTATATTATGCTTATAGACATGAGGCATAAGCATTATTGTTGCAAAAAGCAAATACATTTCTGCAACAGTTGTCTCTTTCCACTGGTGTAGTTTTGACTGTGGTGATATCATCATATTTGCCATGGTGTACTCAAAATACTTGTTACTTTCCCTGACAATAATTTCCATCAAGGGCTGGTCAAAGAATATTTCAAAAAATCCCAGTTCATTGGCCGTGGTTCCAAGGGAACAAGTAGGTAGAATCCCACTTTGAGAGTCATCAAATTGGTGGGGATTGGGAACAAAATTGGGATCTTGCTGCCAATCCCAGATACGGTTTGCTGGTGGATACTGGACATGATAGGCTGGTTATGCAGGTGGTTGTGGTTGGGTGGACTGGTGGCTGACGCTCTGCTTTGTCCTTGAACTGCGGAGTCAGCAGCGTGGGTTCCAGCCTGGGCTGGTGAGTCACGCATGGCCGTGGCACTACCATCACCACTACCACCATCTACTGATGCCTGTGGTCTATCCATGCCAAGTGTAGCCACATTATCTTCACTATCAGTCTATACCTGGTGTAGGGCCACGGGATGTACTCCGGGATGTACTCTGTCCCCTGGGCACTGCATAGGGTACACTACCCGAGTGCATGCGGCAGTGTACATACCGACGCTTCACTGGTGAATATGTTTCCTCACTATCACTACTCGAATGATCGTCAAGAGCAATAAAATCACAATCCACGTCACTATCATCATCATTACTGAAGTCAGAGGTCTAGCCATGCGAAAATAATAGTTTTCTCTTGCGTTGAGGTACAACTGACCGTGACTGAGGAGTGCCCACACCAGAGGTAGAAGGTTGAGGAGAGTCAGGGTTTTCTGTGCTATTATCGATATCCTGGTCATTCCTTTCGGTCACTAACTGATCAAAGCCAAAGAATTTGTCTTCATTTCCACTTCCATCAGTGTCAGAACTATCAGCTAGGAAGAGGAGAATCCCAATTTTTCTTGGAGTGAGCGCTGCCTTGCGACGAGGCATGGTGAACAAAGGTAACTGAGCTGGTGTTCCCACAATGCCATGTGGGCGCCTAGATTTTTTGTTTATGGCGCACACCCATCACGCAGACCCGTTCTCTCACATGCAGGCCTATGAGCATTTTCGTGCTAAATTTGACGGCGCTAGAATTTTGCCGTAGATCTATGGTTTGGACCCTGAACGTGAAGCCGTAGATCTACGGGACGGACTCTGAAAGGGTTAAGCCAGTAATTACCTGATCCCTCCTACCAGGAGGTTACTGCCTGTCAATACCCATAATAGACTCCTCTCACCAAAGTGCTAAAGCTACCATCAAAAAATGCTAGATTTAACACTCTTTACTAAGCTTTCATTTTAGAATGAATATCTCTGACGGGAAAATGAATTATGAAGAGTGAAAATTTCTGACTGAAGGAACCGAGGGTCACAAATGCGGAGAGCATGGAGAAAGAGGGAGATAAGAACACTCTTCTTGACAGAGGAAGCATGATAAGAAAAGTAGTGATTGTACATGTACGTCGTCGTAAACTCCTCTCTTCTATGTGCGGGTTGTTTGTGTATCGTTCCAGTGACAGTACTGTGCCTTTTCTGTTATTTACTAAACCTAAATAGTTAAGTAGCAGTTTAACCCGTAAACGGTACAAACATATACGTTTTTTCAACATTTGAAAGTATGTAAAAAAAGTTGATCTTCTTTTTGTTTTTTTTTTTACATTTGAAAATGTGTAAAAAAACTTTGATCTACTTTTTTTTTGTTATATTTGAAAATATGTAAAAAAAAAGGTAGATCTACTTTTGTAGCACTACACACGTGAACGCAGATCTGCTTGGACCGTTTACGGGTTAATTTTAATCTGCCTATCTACTAATTAACTCTTTCACTGTTGGTGCCGTATAAGTATGGCTTACAAGCCAGTGTTGGTGATGTATTAGTATGCCAAAATTCTAGCAGCTTCAAATCTAGCAGGAGAAAGCTTGTAGACCTACGTGTGAGAGAATGGGTCTGCGTGGTCAGTGTACACAGTGCAAAAGAAATCGGGGAGCCAGTGGTGCATTGTGGGAGTCCCATTTCAGTAGGCCTTGTTTACCATGCTTTGCAGTAAGAAATACCTCACTCTCCGGCAAATTGGGGATCTTCTATTCCCAAGTGATAGTTCTAACACAGTTGGAAGTGTCAGTGAAGATGAATTTCATGGTTCTGAGGAGTTTGTGACCGAAAGCAATGCCCAGGACACCAGAAATAGTCTTGAAAACCCAGACGACCATCAACCTAGTATAACCCAAGAAAGTCAGACAAAGTGACTATTTCCATATGGGTGGTGGGGAAGATAGCATGTTTGTTGGGGAAGACGGTATGAGTAATGGGTGGTGGTGGTGGTTGTGTAATGCATCATGTGACACCAGCCATGCCACTCTCAGCACATCCACAACAAAGGCTACTTTCAACCACCCACAAACAACCTTCTACAAGTTATAGCAGTTCTAAGAACGTGTCCAGTGACTCTGTGTGTGTGTATATATATTATAGAACAATAGTAATGAACAACTTTCTTTATTGTTGATTTGTGTAAACAGGTTTTGTAAATAATGTAATAATAATATCTGTGCAGTTATTGTGTGATGTATACAATGAGTGGATATATATACCTTACATATTATATTGGTCTCACAGGCCACAAAAGTCACTTGAAAAAATAAAATATTAAAAAATAAAAGAAAAATAGAATAGAAGTAAAAATAATGTTACCGAGTGAGTGGCAGTTGGCAATGTTGCTGCTAGCGGTTCACTTTGTCAACTTCACACCTCTATATCTCAGTAAGTACTGAATACAAAAAAAAAATCTTTTAACCCTTAACCCTTTCAGGGTCCATGCCATAGATCAATGGCTTTACGTTGAGGGTCCAAACCGTAGATCTACACCATGAGCTCAGCTCACTCTGATAAGCTGTGAGCAGTAAATCTGGGCCTAGATATGAGAGAATACATCTATGTGGCATGTGTGCACCACATAAAACAAATCCTGCAGCACACACTGCATAATGAGAAAAAAACAGACCATAATTTTCGATTAAAACAGCAAGTTTGCAGTGTTATTTTGTACATTTTTTATAGATATATTTGCAATTTCTTTGTCTCATTTGATAGAATGGAAGATATATTACAGAAATAGAGATGATTTTGA